AAAAATGTTAAGACTACCATAAATATCATCCCAAATGACCCAGAAATCTCACCAGCAGGTATGTACTCCGATAATAATACTTAATATTGGTTAAGAATATGACAAGCTTGTTAGCTTTAACCATTTCCATTTAATGTTGTACTAAGAATGAGTCCCAGCCAGGGCAATTAAATAAGAACTATAATTAAAAGGCATTAAATATTGGAAAAAGAAGAACTAATTTTTTTTAGTTACAGTCAAAATGATGCCTACATACAGAATTCTAAATAATTTATAACTAGGTCATAATATACAAATGTAACAAGATCATAGACTACCTGACCAGTGCATGAAACTCAGTAACATTTGTATGTAGGTGTAGCAAGCAATTTCAAAGCAACAGAGTAACATTTGTATGTAGGTGTAGCAAGCAATTTCAAAGCAACAAAAGTGGTACTTTGTGTGGTGGTATTAGGGGAGAGAAGAATGGAATAGTGGTATTCTGGGGGAAAGTGTGTTTGTTCACCATTGTTGGGAATATAAATGTGTCCAGTTATGTGGGGAAATTGTGGAAGTCTGCACAAAACAAAAAGTAGAACTCGTATATGACCCAGAAGTCCTACTCCCAGGTTCAGGCTCAGACCATCAAAATTGGTGTATAAAGGGAATTTTGCTTAGGCCACCCTATAAAGAGACGAAATTCTATCATTCATGGACACATGGATGGACTTGGAAGACACCGTGTTAGTGAAATAAGCCAGATACACCAAAGGGAAGGAATGTAGCATGGTCTATGGCAGTGGCTCTCAACCCTCGTAAGGCTGCGACCCTTTAATACAGTTCCTCATGTTGTGGTGACCCCAACCATAAAATTATTTTCGTTGCTACTTCATAACTGTAATTTTGCTACTGTTATGAATTGTAATGCAAATATCTGATATTCCTGGTGGTCTTAGGTGACCCCTGTGAAAGGGGTCATGACTCACAGGTTGAGGAACTTTGACATATAGTATTGGATACAAAATCTCAGCACTTAAATTTTGACGGTAGATTTGACTTCCAGGGGTAATCAAGCAGTGTACGCAAATGTCACTGTCTGGTGAATCTTGGCTTGTGTATCTGACCTGCTCTGTCCTGTTACAAACACGCCCCTGCATACTGTCCATCTTTTTCCTCCTGGCTATTCTTGGCAGTGAATGTCTCAAATGACTCAGTAGCAAGCGACGGCACAGGCTGTCTCCTAACCCTGGGAGTAAAAATCAAGGATACCTAGGAGACGTGTTAGTCACCTCACGGGTGCCACCTACAGTCCCCACCCAGTTTCCCAATGTCTTCTGTGATCTTCAAACATCATGCTCTGTGACCTGGTGGGATGTGTGCTGAGAACACTCACCTAGAAGGCCAGTAGGATACAGCACTTGGAGCCGCTTCTTGTAATGGTGGTGTTATCTGAGCCCACCAGGGAGAAGCTGAGTGATTGGACAGAAGTCAGAGGTATTTTTTTTTCCCCTTGGTTTTGTTTTTTGGGTTTTTTTTTTTTTTTTCCCAGACAGAGTCTCTCTCTATTATGTAGCTCTGGCTGTCCTGGAACTTGCTCTGTAGACCAGGCTGGCCTCCAAATCACAGAGATCCACTTGCCTCTGCCTCCCAAGTGCTGGGATTAAAGGGTGCACCACCACACCCAGCTCCAGAAGTTACAGATTATTAATAAACTGAATACTTTATTTGAGTACCAGAAACCTTACTGAATTATCCCAGGCTTTGAGCAGCAGAGTTCCTTGAAAAGTATGCATCCCCCCCTCCCTCCCCCCCCCCACACACAAAATAGGAACTGAACTGATGGCTGGGCAGTGGTGGCGTTTGCCTTTAATCCCAGCACTTGGGAGGCAGAGGCAGGCAGATCTCAGTGAGTTCAAAGCCAGCCTAGTCTAAAAAGCGAGTTCCAGGACAGCTAGTGCTACACAGAGAAATCCTGTCTTGAAAAACAAAAAAAAGAAAGAAAGAAAGAAAGAAAGAAAGAAAGAAAGAAAGAAAGAAAGAAAGAAAGAAAGAAAGAAGGAAGGAAGGAGGAGGAGGAGAGGACGAGGAGGAGGAGGAAAAAAGGAAAAAAAAAAAACAAAAAACAAAACAAACAAAAAAAAACCTGTACTGAGACAAATGTGCAGAAGTTTGTGAGAAGAAGTTTGTTCAATGATATACTGTACTGGAAACCCAAAGGCCTGCAGCAGATTTAAAGTCTAACTCTTGTTATAATTTTTTTGCTTGTTTAGTCAAGACAGGGTCTCACTACATAGCTCTGGCTGTCACAGAACTCACTATATAGACCAGGATAGCCTCAAACTCACAGAGATCCTCCTGCCACTGCCTCCTGAGTGCTGGGATTAAAGGCATCACTAAGCCTGGTGTGTGTGTGTGTGTGTGTGTGTGTGTGTGTGTGTGTGTGTGTGTTCACGTGGTTTTGAGACAGGGTTTCTCTGTGTAGTCGTGGTTGTCATGGAACTCACTCTGTAGACCAGGCTGGCCTCAAACCCAGAGGTCCACCTGCCTCCGCCTGTGCTGGCATTAAAGTGCATCACCTAGACCCGGCGATGCCATCTATTCTGTCATTTCCTGTCCTGGGGTCTCAGATATGGCCTGGCAGCATAAAAACTAACAATAACAAATTCAAGAAGAGAAGAGGAGGAATCAGAGGAGAGAAGGAGGAGGAAGAGGAAGAAAAAAGAGGAGGAGGAAGAAGAGGAAGAAAAAAGAAAGAAAAAGAAGAAGAGGAAGAAAAGGTAGAAAGGGGGAGGAGGAGGACTCACCACGTAAGCCACCTTCTGAGTCAGCTCCTCCAGCCACACAAGATGAAAACTCAGGTGTCTTCCTGGTTGGAGGATGAGGGCGCAGGCAGATGTTCCTGCGACCAGCTCTGTGCTGTGCCCAGTGTGAGCAATGAAGGTCTGCAGGCAGCGAGGGGTAGTTGTCCAGTGAAATCGGGTTTTCCTGGGTGGTACACGTAGTGTTCTAGATGGTAGAGAAGCATAAATTTATCTTGTGTTACTAGGGTGAATATCATAATATTAGTCAAAGTATGATGGGGCAGGCAGACTATTGAGTGTTGTGAGTTTTTATAATCATAAACATACCTATGACTCGAAAACTATAATAAAAATGTTATGGTTCTTTAAAAAAAAAAAAAAAAAAAGTTGTTCGAAGTCCTGTCCTGAGACTGTGCGCCCTGCGGCGATGCTCCCAATAAAGGTAGGAAAGGGATTAATTGGACGTCACTGAGCTCCTCCTGGATGGGTGTGGCCAGAACTCCAAAAAGCGTGATCAGATAAAGCGCCACCAAGCAACGGAGTAGGAATCCAGAGAGGAAACAGCTCTTCTTCGCGGTTTTTGAGAAGTTTCGGGATCGGGAATCAGTGCAACCCTACCTCGATGAAGTCTCGGGGACGCGGCGTGCCCACAGCCTCAGCGGCCTGGGCAGGTCACACTCCAGGTCCCTGGCCACTCCCGGGGCTCAGACTTCGGCCTAGGGTCCCCAAGACCTTCCTCGAAATACAAGTTGTTGTCCTTCTGTTCTGTGTGAGTATCGCCCAGTGAGAACGCGGTGCCCGGTGGGCGCGCGGTGTCCGGTGCGCGCGCGGTGTCCTGTGCGTGCGGTGTCCGGTGCGCGCGCGGTGCCCGGTCCGGCGCAGGAAGCTGGACGCAGGGTGCCGTCCAGGCCTGGAGCGCACGTGCTTGGCGCTGGGGAAAAGGTCGGACGGTATAGGGGGACACCACTGTGGAGCGGGGAGAACTCGACGGTGAAGGGTGGAAGGTTCGATGGTGGGGTGGGGGTGGGGAACCCGAAGGGGCAGGGTAGGTTAGAGAAGTGGGCGGAAGATTCGACTGGGGAGGATGTGACGAGGCGCAGCTCCGGTGAGGGGACGGTGGGTGAGAGGACCCAGAGGTGGAGGGAGGGAGGGAGGTTCTGACCTTGGGTGGAAGGGATGGGGTAGGGGAGAAGGACCAAGGTGGGCCTCCGAGGGACGAGGAGGAAGGACCCAGCTAGCCCAGCAAAACCCACCGGGACACCATGCCTGGGGCGAGATGGGGCAGGGAAAGCCGGGACAGAGGGGGACCCGGTATTCCTGCAGGACCTACGGGGCTGAAAGAATTTAGATGTAGGGGCTGGAGGGTTGACCCTGCCCAGCTACTAGCGCGGGCCTCTGATACCTGTGGCTCCAGAACTCATTTCCAGTGTTGCATCACTGTTTTGTTTGTTTGTTTTGTTTTGGGGTTTTTGTTTTGTTTTTGTTTTTTTGTTTTTTTGTTTTTTCCCCCCAAGACAGGATTTCTCTGTGTGGCTTTGGCTGTCCTGGAACTTGTTCTGTAGACCAGGCTGGCTTCGAACTCATGAAGATTTGCCTGCCTTTGCTTCCCGGAGTGCTGGAATTAAAGGCGTGTGCGACACCACTGCCCCGCTTTTTTTTTTTTTTTTTTTTTTTTAAATGAAGTTTCTTGGATTAGAAATTTTTTTCCTTTAAAAACAGTAAAAGGACTTTTAGGGCAAGAATCCAGACTTTTCCTCTTCTGCTAGCACGAGATTACTGAGGGGAATTCCAGTTTCTTGGAGTCCATTGTTTCTAATTTCTAATCGTCAGAGAGGCACACCAGTGTCTCTAAAGAATTCATATATTAATTTTATTTTATTATATTCATTTTTGCCGGGCTGGTTACAGTTTTCTACCTTATGTTTTAGTACTTCACTGTTGAGGTGGAACATGCCTATGTCTGAAAAACGAATAAGTAGAATCAAAGTAGGAACCGAGGTTAGGACAGGTTCAGTTAGTGCCAGGCAGCCCTCTGTAAGAACCGTTTTTTCCAAACTCTCTTGGCTTTTAGCTACTTTGGGTACCTTTTTAGCTATTTGAAAAACAAACAAAACAGAACAAAAAGAAAGAAAAAGAGGATAAGCAGATCAGTGGTTGCCAGCATGGAGAGGTAGACCAAGGAGTGAGCGGTTTGTTATTTTTTTTTTCTTTTTGAAATTATTTTTTATTTCCTTTTTTGTATCATCAGCGAGTAACACTGTAACTGGTACATAAATAGATATGTATACTAGACAAAGAAATAATATATATGATTAACAATATTGCACTGAAACTAAATGTTGTATTGGGTTGAATGGTAGAAACATCAATGTCAAATCTAAGCCTGTATTTAATTCATTTATTTCTTTAGCCATTACAGTTCAAACTCAGGAGCTTCCTGTTTAGAAAACACAATATACAAAATAGTATTAATGAGCTTCACAGCCTAGTTTCTTCTCTCAGGGATTTTTAGACTACATAATTAACCAACAAGCTATATTCAAATTCTAACTTTAATAAGACAGACCTTTATAATTACATGTAGTTTTCTTCTTTTATACATTGCTATTATGACATTCCTTAACTATATACTGAATTGGTATAAATCCAATTTAGAAATTAAGAATATAATTTTATTTCAATTTTACT